TTCAGTTTTGTGCAGTCGTTCTTTAGGTCCTTGGGCGTGCAGAAGTGGCCCTTGCCCTCAGCGAGTTTACCATGTAGTGGGGCAGGCCGAGGGCCAGTTTCGCTTGCTTTATCTACGGTAAGGCCGTGAGGTCTTGAATGAAGAATGAGGGAAGGCAAAGTAGCAAGCTCTGAGTTCTGCCTGTTGTATCCTGAGATGATTTACCAAGGAAGGGATGTGCATTTTTCTTATTCTGCTCATTCTTTTTTATGTGTAGACCCCCTTTGCAACATTGGCACGCTCAGTCCATCTTTGTTCCCCGCTGTGTGCCTCAGAGGGTCTTGCTACAACAGGTACCTGGTCCGTGATTCCTGGCGAGCTGACACAGCCCTTCCTCACCTGGCGTCAGGCACCCTCTCCCTGCCTCCCCCTGTGCCACTCTGCCCCGGGCCCCCCTGCCACCACGCCGGGCTTCAGTTTCCTCGGTATTACAGGGTACTTCTGTCCTCACAGTGCCTTTGCACATGCCAGCCCCTGCCCGGCTGCGTCCTGTTTATCCTTCGCTTCCAGCTGCGTTGTCCCTAATTCAGGGAGCTTCCCTAATTCCTCTCCCTACCCCACCCCCCAAATTCTAAATTAGATCCTCCCTGGACTGGATTAAATAAGTGCGTTATGGAGCATCCATCCAATAATACTAGGTCATCACTTAAAAGAACAAGATGTATCAGAAAGGATAAAAGCAAATTGCAGAACAACATGTGTGGAAAGTGATCCCATTTGTGCACCTTTTTTAAAAGGATATGTGTGCAGCGGTAGGCATAAATTTTTTTTCAGTTAGTATATTCCAGAAATTGTTAATAGCGATTACCTCTAGGGAGACTACTGGAGCTTATATAAGGAAAGGACGTTTTTCATTGTAAACTTTTCTGCAGCATTTAAAATTGTTACAACATGTGATGTTATGTTTACCTTCGGAAATAAGACAATTCGGTCTCCCTGTTATTTTCAGCCATAGAATCCATTTAGTTTCCTTCACGTTACATACTTAATTCTAGTTGTCTACTGTCCCCCACCACACTGGTGCTCCTTGAAGACAAGGACCGTGTCTGCTTTATTTGCTGTTGTTCCTGGCTCCACTTAGCATGGTACCTTTTACATAGTAGGTGCTCAATCAGTATTCCTTGAATGAATGAATGAACGAACGAATGCACACACGAACAAGCGAACAAGTGCAATATCCCCACCGTGTGGTTAACTGGGTAACCTGTGGGACAGACAGCAGGTTGGACAGTGCGTGAGACGGCTGCCATAGAGGCAGGGAGCCAAAGAAAACGTGTGTAGTCTAAGGCGTCAGAGCTGGGAAGGAGAGAGCAAGTGACCTCTGTGAGGATCGCGACCCGTGCGAGGAGGCGCTCCCTCTGGCGGAGCTGAGGCGAGGGTGAGGGCGCCTCCTCCCATGCACCGGAGGGGTGGCCCTGGCTTCGCGTCCCCTATTCTGGGGTTGCTCCGGGAGCACTGCCATCTGCTCCTCCCGGGGCTCGTTTGCTGAGGGTGGCAGAGGACGGGTCCCCAGGCTCTCTGGCATCAGTGCACGCTTTTCCTTCTGCCCCGTGGGCCTTAGTGTAGGGAAGTAGTGAGTCAGGGCATATGACAAGGGAAGATTTAGCTTATTTATGGTTATTGGTATCTAGAGAAATACCCAAGCACAGAGGACACTGGGTCTTGGGCAGAGTGAAAGCCGTTCGACCGTAGGCAGTGGCCTCACTGCGCCACTGTCGAAATCACCCCCAAAGGCACTGAGCCTTTGCAAAGAAAGCGTGGGTGGGGGCGGACAGGCCAGGAGTGCGGGCGCACTGGCGCTGGAAGCCTGGTTCTCTTCGTTATGGAAGGTTTCTCCTTGCGCAAGCTGCATAAGGCTCCTGAGCCTTAGTGTTCTCATCTGGAAAATGGGCAGGAGAAAACGAGAAATGAAGGGAGAGCCCTACAGTTTCTCTTCACGGTCAACGTTGTCTCTGCTGAGTGAATAAGAACAGCACAGCACTTTGTATTTCATAAAGATGATTGCGTTTCATGCTTACAGCAACCGTATGTGGTGGGCATTCAATATGATTATACCAGGTTTACGATGAAGAAACTGAGGCACAGAAAGGGTCGAGTCGCACAGTTAGGATGTGGGGGATTCGCAGCTGGCCCTCCTGCCTCCCGAGCCTGCACTCTCGACCAATGGGGAGTCCCGCCCACATGCCTGCCTAACTCATTGTCTCTCTCAATGGTCTTCCTGTTTTTTAGCAGCAAAGAAGAAAATGGCAATAAAGTCAACGTAATTACTAGAAAATAGTGGTAGCTTTTCAGCAGTACGAGAGCAGACTCTTCTATTCCTCTTATTGTCTCTACTAAAACTCTGTGCCTTTGAATGTTGAGCTCGACAGCCTGAAGCAGGCCAGGCCCCCGGTGCAGACTCGCAGGCAGGCACTGTGCTCACTGCCCGCAGGGCCCAGTCGCTTCATGGAGTAATTTCGTGAAGCGGTGAGTTTCTTTTTCTCGGTTTGTTCATGGTACATGTGTGGGGTGGGGGCGTGGAGAGAAGGAGAGAAAGAACAAAAATTCCCAAGAACATACTACGTACACGTGAGCAAGCACTTGTCTGCGGTTATAAATCAGAAACTGTAAAATTGTGAAGTTCTTTGAAGTTTGCCCAAAACCTGCTCCACGGCCACTTGTTCCACTGGGGGCTGGGAGTTGGATGGCCTGACTCTGCTGCGATGGCTCAAGCTGTCACTGCACCGGAATGTTCCAGCTTGCCTCGGCCTGGCTGTCATCGCTGGCTCTGTCCCACTCCGGCAGTTCACCAGGTTCTGTTGGGCACCAGGCTTCCAATTAGAGAGAAACCCCACTGTGTGGCCAGCGCCACCAGTGCCACTCTGAGAGGCCCCTTTGCCAAGGCCCGAACTGACCTCTGATCTGTCACAGATGGGCCAGCCCCACACTCCTTCGTGCACATTTGGAGGAGGGGGTGGGGGTGAAGAGGGAAGCCTGGGGGGAGCCAGAGTGGACGCTGGGCCGCAGCGCAGCTCCTCGGAGCCGGGAGGAGCCGGGCAGAGCTGACAGGACCCAAATGCTAGTGTTGTGCAGGGAAAGGGGACTTTGGGAAGACCCGTCCTGAGCCTGAAGCTCAGCATGGGGCATTTCCTTACCGACTTCTGAATATTCATCTCAGGCTGGACTTCACATCTGAGGGGGAGCCAGGGGCTGCTAACTGGCTCACGCCAAAACTGTCACACTGCTGAGGGCGCAGGCATGGCCAGCTTCCTCCCTGCCCCGCTGCAGGGCCTGCGCAGTCGCCCCGGCCGGGGAGCGCCGCTTGCCCAGGGCTGCAGACGGCAGTTGGCCGCAGCCCTCACGGAGGAGGACGCACCGTGCACTGTGCGGGGCGAGTGCAGAGAAAGCTAAGTTCTATTAGCATGAGAAACAGAATCTTAGAGAGTTCCACCTCTAATTCTTTAGCAGGAGAGAGAGACAGTCTAAGCTCTGAACAGCTTTCTTCTGCGTAGAGGACTTGCTGGATGTGGTTCATCATTTTGGGGGTGGTGTGAGTGTCATCTTTATTTTCCCTGTCAGCCATTTCTTTTTGTCCCTTTTTATTCTTTTAATCACTCCCTTTCTCCACCTGTCTCTTTCTCTGTGTGTCTTGTTTTCTGTCTCTCCCTTGCAGACTTTCTCTTTTTCCAGGTACAGCGTCTGTGACCCGCAGTCTGAAGCAATAATAAAGATACCGGCGTGCACCTGACACAAATACTCGGGCTTCGCTGCAGAGTCTAAACCCAGAATAGCCTGAAAGTGGCAAGGGTCTTCCCCGCTGTTCTTGAAATGGTTCTGCATCTCTTTTAAAAGTAAAATAGGATTCAGTCCATGGAAGCAAAAACGAAGGTTGCTTCACTTCTCTCTCCTCTCTGAGATTTTCCCTCCCTTGAAGACTTGCAGTGGCTTTGGGAGCTCCCGGACTCTCTGAGCCCACTTCGCCTTTTCTCCCGCCCTGCCTCCTTTTTCACTCTGCCCCTCTCTGCGGCCTGGTTAAAACAAAGAAGACCCCTCTACCAGCCAGTGATACTCATTTGGAGAGGGAACTACCGCTGAGGAGGGTTAGGTTGTCCCCATGAGATGATGGATTATTTTTATGCCTTAAGCCTGTTGCCACAATTCAGTGACGTGCTGTCTCTATTTCTCTGTTTGCGTGACTTTGTTAAATTGGTGAGAGCAATGGCCTTGGGTCTCCTCTTTGTGTGTCTGTCTCATACAGAGAGTTCAGCGAAGGGAAACTTCTGCGAGGCAGGAAGAGAAGCGTCATCTTTAGAAGCAGCTCTGTTTTTAGGGTTAGACCCGGCAAGTAGAGGCCCCGATCTCGGGTACACCGCTAGGGGGTCGGGCTATGTCATTAGGTGTGAACGACTTCAGATGCAGGCTCGGGGCCAGGCAGACTGTGACGATTGCAAAGATTGCAGTGAGTTAGTGCACGTGTGGGCCTTGGTCGCGAGGAGGTGCGCTCATAGTGACACTCGCCTCCTGGCACCACACTCCCTCGGCTCCTCCGCCTCGGACAGAGCCAGGCCCACGTGCTGATTCCTCTTCCTTCCTCTCCTCTAATGTAAGCGCTCCCCCAGGTGCCGCCTGGGACTCTCTTCTCATTTCTTCACATTCCTCCTGGGAGACCACTCCCGTGACCCCTAACTGGGAGTGCACATCAGGAGCGTGGAAGAAATCTTAGAAGAAAATGCAGCTGCCTGAGCCCTACCCAGGAGCTCCCAGTCCTGCTGGTCCTGGGGTGGAGCCTGGGCTTCAGGAACTGTTGACGTTCTACCTTTGATTCTAATGCGCACCTCTAGTTCTGTCCCACAGCCGACTAGTGTCCATTGTACCCCCAGCCCATAGCCCCATGGCTGGCGTGTTGAAGGCAGTAAGAATGAAGATGCAGGAGAGATCCCTGTTCATGCTGCTGACAGCTTTGCCGCCTCCTCTCATTGCAGATATTCTTGTTATTCCGGATCTGGAAGAGGTGCAGGAAGAAGACTTCGTTTTGCAGGTGGCAGCTCCCCCCAGGTATGTTAAATCAAGTATGAAGCTGGAGGGAGGCAGGGAACATGTGACTTCATACACTCCAAATACCAGCCGCAGAGCCGCTGCCCCCGGCGCAGACCAGGTGCTTCTGGTGTTGGGCTCCCTCCCCCGGTTCCCATTGAATTAGACATTTTCTTCCCATTTTGGTCCTGCCTATGGTCCCTCCTCACATTCTGTCTTTCCTGCAGCGTCCAGGTAAACCGGGTGATGACCTACCGTGACCTGGACAATGATCTCATGAAGTACGCAGCCTTCCAGACCCTGGTGAGTGGAACGGCTTCCGCACAGAGGTGTGGCTCCAGGCTCTGTCCTTAGGGATTTCCCGGCTCCTCCAGGGGTCTTCTGAGGCTGCCTGGCAACAGGCCCTCTGCCGGAGGCATCGATCTTGGCTATTACAGCATCTCCGGACCCAGCGTAATCAGTGTTTCCCAGCACAGGCTCCTGCCTGCTTCCGTGGCTCCCCTTGTGGGGTCAATAGATCTGCTGGCCCCGGGGGTGTGCTGCTGTCACGCCCTGCCCTCCCGGTGCTGACCTTCCTCCAAAGAATGCCCCACGTGGAGGATGTCCTGGTGTTCCCTCTGGCCGTGTGGTCCTCTCACATTTTCACTCTTAGAACTCACCCCTGCCAATCTGGGCTTGGGAAGTGCTACCACATACAACCTGATTCTCCTCACTTTGCAAGAGATAATCGTCCAAAGGCCCCTCGAGGTACACAGCCCTTTTTTTTTTTCCCATTCACAGGATGGAGAGATCGACCTGAAGCTCCTCACCAAAGTCCTCGCGCCAGAGCAGGAAGTTCGGGAAGTACGTAGCAACAGCAGCCTCTTACCCCCTCAGCCGAGTCATTCCTAGAACCTGCTGGCACCCGGGTGGCCCTCTGCCTGCCGGGCTGATGGGTGTGGGCGGTGGGCTGTGATTGCTGGGAAGGGCCTTCCTGTGTCTCCCCCAGCGGTACCTCTCTTGGCAGGATGACGTCAGCTGGGACTGGGACCATCTGTACACTGAGGTGTCCTCAGAGCTCCTCACCGAGTGGGACCTGCTGCAGACAGAGAAGGAGGAACCTGTGGGACAGTCCGCACACACCTGAGCCTCGGGGGGACCGCAGAGCACCCTCCCCGTGCACCGTAACCTCTGCTTTGGACTTGGAAAACTGCAATAAGCCTTAAAAAAAGCTTGCAAGCAGCTTAGAACTTTTATATGGAAAATTTTATAATAAAAATATTTATTTTCAGGAGACCACTTCGGATCATTCAGTTGTAATAAATGCTTTTTTCTGTGGGTGTCTCTTCATTTCTTTCCAGCGTCCTCTTGGAAAGATTGGTTGAGAGTGAAGGAGGCAGCTGTTATAAAACAGTGTGACAGGAACGCCCCGCATGGCAGAAGAGCGTGAGGGAAGCTGGATCAGGGAGAGAGGGATGGCGCTCCTCCTGGAGGCTGCTCAGCCCACAGCGGTGCCCCAGCTCGGCCACCTGTAAGCCCCTGGACACAGGGATGTGGGAGGCTGCAAGCGGCTGCCAGCTGGGACCGGTGGGGGTCGGGGAGGAGGGGTCCCTGGCGGGACTCCTTTCTCACTGTGGACTTTCAGTTACGTTAGCGAGATTGCACTGTCTCCTTCGTGGTTTAGGTGGCTTAGCTGAGGACACAGCAAGAAGTGGGTGTGATAAGGTGACCCATCCCTCCCCTCAGTCTTCGGTGCCTCTTCTGACAGCACTCCCCTTTCCCCTGCTTCCTGCGACCCATGTCTGGGGCTCCCGAGTCACGTTTGCTTCAGCCACAGGTTCCCAGGGCCTCGTTCCTGGTTCTCCTTAGCAGGGGCCAGCCTGGCAGCCCCGAGAATGCCGGAGAAACAGTTCCTGGGCGAGCGCGGGCCGCCCTCTTTCAGGCGGACAGCCGCTCGTCTCCTCCACTCCGCACAGCGCCACTGCCTGTTTCCACAGTGCGCTGAGGTCGGGAGCCGAGCCCAGGCCTTCTCCTATATGGAGGCATCTTCAGCTTGTGTTTTTCTCTCTTTCTCCCCAAGACCTCTTGTCTGAGGACGGGGACGTTTCCCTGCCCGCCTGTCCTAGATGCTGCTTGGGTCAGCCCGCACAGGCTGGCGGCTGCCGGCAAGGCCCGCTCCTCGGCCGTGGGGAGTGCAGAGTGCTGCTCTTCTGCCTGGAAAGCCCTTCATTAACATGCAGAAAAACAAAGAGGCTCAATACTTCAAAAACCCACTGGGGGGTTATTTTTGTGTGACTATGTGTGCCCTTCCCTGGTGAGCCAAGCAGGCTCCTGAGCGGGCACAGAGAATGCTTGTCTACTAATTATAAAGCCTGGGATTTGCTGGCTTTGGGGTCTCTCCTCCTTCTCTTCCAGAGTCACACTTTCAACCCAGACAGCCTCTCTCTGGAATGATTCCCGTGGTCGCTGAGAAGTTTCTGTCCAGGCTGGTTTTTCTTGAGCCTGCATCACTGAAACCCAAAGGAGAAAGGCTGTGTTTCTAGTACCTTAATTACCCACAAATTCACCTGCCTCAGGACTCTGATAACCTTGGAGGCCTTCAGCTAGCCAGAGCATGTGGCTACACGTTGACGTCCTCCCTCCCTCTATTTTATAACAACAGCAGCAACAAGATCCAACATGTCCTGAGCACTTACCACACACCAGACACAGAGCTTGCACATAGGAATTATCTGCTTCATCCTCACAACTATCCAGCAAAGCAGATGCTGTTGCTAGCCCATTTGACAGATAAGGAAGCTGAGGCTCAGAGAGGTAAAGAGATTGCCCAAGATTTATCCACCTACTTAGTGGCAGAGCTGGAATTCAAAACCAGGCAGTCTGACACCACCGTGCTCTTTTTAAATCCTCACCTGAGGACATGCATTGGTCGGTTGCCTCTTGCACATGCCCCATCTGGGACCAAACCCACAACCTAGTACGTGCCCTGATGGGAATCAAACCTGTGACCTTTTGGTTTATGGGACAACGCTCCAACCAGCTGAGCCACACTGGCCAGGGTGCTTTTAACACCTGTGATGTTCTTCCCCCTCTGCTGCTTTCAATGTGGGGAAGGGATCCAGTGTACAGTGGTGCGCTGGAGAGACGGCCTGCCACTCCTCCACCCTTGACCAGGCACCCATCCTCTGCAGTGACCACAGGGCAGAGGCTTCTGGCAGGCTTGGATGTGAAGCCCCTCATCATGGCTGAGCTCAAGAGCCCTGGCCTTGGTGGGTGAGATGGAGCCAGTGGACCTAGGAGAGGAACGGTTGCTAAATTACATGAACGTAGCGTGGACAAGGGCCAAGTTCAGGCCACGTGTGGCCAATTTGCCTGCCCGTGCCCAGGCCACGCCCTGTCTGGGCTTCATCCTTGACAATGCACTTGACGTCACCTCTTCAGAGTTCCTGGAGAATGACAGGTTGTTCCAGAACCTACATCCACCCCGTTCTTACTCAACGTCTGAGATACTTTCTTACGTTCCACCCAGCGGGGTCGCCCACCAGACTTCGGAGGGCCTCCTGAGAAGATGGCCCACGAGGCTTAGCAGAATGGGCGAACACCTACAGGTCGTACCCAGTGTGGTTCTGTGCAGACTTGGGGAGGCTGGGGGGGAGGCGAGGAACGTCTTGGTACAGCTGTCTCCGTGTGGTGAGTTCACTGGTTCCTTACCCGTTTGTCCTAGACTGGCTTGTTTCACCTCTGAGCAGGCTTGAGAGGTCCCAGCTGGTCACTGACGAAATTTCCCATGGCGTCTTCACATTGTTCCTTCCTAAGATACTGACTGCCACCTAGCATGTGCCAGGCTCTGTTCCAGGCACTGCAGGATAGGCCTAGCAAGGCAAACTCCCCTTCCTCCTAGAACTTGTGCCTGGAGGACGGGGAGGTGGACAAATGAGGAAAACAGTATGTCTGATGGGAATAGAAGCTATGGAGAAAAATAAGGTGCTGGGTGGAGGCTGCGGTTTTAAATGGGGCGGTCAGGGGAGGCCTCACTCGAAAGGAAACATTGGAGCTAAGAGCTGAAGAAGGTATAAGAAGGAGCAACACGGGTTCCCGGAGAACAGTGTTCCCAGGAATGAGAACAGTATTTGCAAAAAGCCAGCAGGAGGACCTGCACCTGGCCTGTTTGAGTAGCAGCAGGAAGCCAGTGTGTCTGGTGGAGGGGACAAGGGGAGAGGAGCTGCCCTGTCTTGCTGTGCCCAAGGCCTGGACTTACCACAGAAAAGACCTGGGGCATGAGGGGCTACTCCCTTCAGGGACACGCACACTCTTAGGCCTCTTTGGGCTTGCCTAGCAGCCTCTGGAAAATGTTATCCAAATGGCTGCACAGCCTCTTCTTTCCTTGGCTTGAAAGAAGCTAACAGCTAATGCTACACTGAAAGAGAGAGGGGAACAAAGAGCTCTGTCTGCCGCGGATCAGAGGTGCGGAGGCTGCTGCCAGCCCCCCACCAGGCCGGGGTGCACCGTGCGCTGGGAAGACAGGGCGGCATTGTATGGCCCTGATGTGGAACGCTCCCTGGGAACCTGCAGCTGCGATGAAAGGCTCAAGCAAGCAGTTCGACTGGGTAGGCCTGTGGCTGCACCTGAGGTCATCTCTGCCCCTGAGTGGGGCTCCTCTTTGCTGAACCCCAGGACACTCAGGCTTCTGGGACTACGTGCTCCAGATGGAAACTGATATTAGTGCCTTCACCAAAATGTGCTGTTTACGCACATCAAGGCCTCCCTTGATTAGTGGTTGGCGGGCTCCATGGGTGATGGAGACCTAAGTGAAAGGTAGCGTCTGCTACAGCAAGATAAGGCAGCTTAGCATCCTTGCTCTGCCTGCCTAAGCAGTGCTGTGTTTCTCCACTGGGGGTCAGAGAGTCAGTGGGGCAGGGGCGGTGGGGGGGGCGGTCGGTAAGTGGAAGAGGTAGGGAGCAGGGGCAAAGGACACAGATTCTGGAATCAGGCAGGCGTGGGCTCCAGTCCCGGCTCGGCCACTTAGTAGCTGTGGGTCATTTCACAAGATGCTTTCCCTTTATGATCCTATTTTCTCATCCATAAAATGGGGATAATATTCATAATGTCCTCTTAGGATTGTGATGCTCAGTAAAAGCGGACTGCTGTTAAGTTTTAGAACTGGATGTGATTGAATAGCAAACAGGACAAGTCACATTGGATATTTTATGGGAACAACACCTGTGTTTTGCTAGGGACTTACCGCCTTCATTCCCCCGCTCCCCCGCCCCATGCATCATTTCTCAGCCATGCATAGAATGGCTTGGCACTGGGGGTTTTTTGTTTTGTTTTTATAGCAACTTTATTGAGGTATAATATGCATGCCTTAAAATTCACCCACCGAAAATATACAATCCAGTGATTTAAGTAAAGGGAAGGAGTTGTGCATCCATCACAATAGTCCAGGAGTGGAACATTTACATCACCCTGCAAAGTCCCCTATGTGAAAAGTTCATTCACAGTTAAGTCCGCTCCCACTCTCAGCCCTAGGCAACTACTGATCTGTTTGCTGACTCTATGCATTTGTACATGGAAATGGACTCATATCATATGTGATCTTTTGTGTCTGGCTACTTTCACACAGCGTGTTTTCAAGGTCCACCTATGTTGTCACGTGTGTCAGCAGTTCGTTCTTTGGGTTGCCGGAGGGTGGTCCGCGGCAGGGGTGCATACCGCATTTTGTTTAACTGTGGTTCCTCAGTCAAGGGACACTTGAGTTTCCAGTTTTGGGCTCTTACGAACAACGCCCCTGTGGACATTCAGGTATCTGTCTTGGTGTGGACAGGTGTTTTCCTTTCTCTTAGATAATGATAGTGCTCTAAGAGTGAAATTGCTGGGTCATGTGCCAGGTCTATGTTTAACTTTTAGGGAACTGCCAGACTATTTCCAGGGCGTCAGTTCCGTTTGTTTATCTTTTAGTGTTTTAGGGTAATAGGATCGAGTTTTTTTTTTTCCTTGTCTCCTTTCCATAAGTTTTTCCAAGGTTGCTGTTAAAGTTCCAGGAGGCACATTCTCCTGGTCCCCCTGCCTTCCTTCTGTCATTGAGCTTCTCTCTGTTTTGAGAATGCAGAGTTCATCTCGTTTCCCCCACCAGCCCGTGAGCCTCTTCAGGATAAAATGGGGGTGTTGTTTGAGTTTCTGTCAAGCCCCGTGTATTTCAAGAGTTCAAAGTCAAGTCAGACATAGTACTGACCCCAAGGAGCTCACAATCTAGTAAAGAGAGACAAGTTTCATCTATATTTTCAAAGCATCAGT